GTGGGCACATGGCTGAGTGAGGAGACTCACATGTTACTACCCTCGGACGCTGAGACTTCTTACCGCTATCCTTATTCTTCGGTGGCATTTTATCTAGTTATATATATTTTCATAAACAAAGATAATAAAGTCATTGACATAAATATATATTCATTGACAAATTCAATATATACATGTTCAATAGATATTAATTAATATTACATTAAGTGATTAATTAATCTAAATCTTCATGCTCGTTATCCATATCATGTTCATCATCCGATGTAATATTGTCCTCGGATTCAAACTCTTCATCATTGTCTTCATCCACATTATTATCAACCAACAATATAGACGCATCAACTTGAAGTCCCTCAACAGTTGTATCAGACAAAGTTGTAATGTCTTCAGCTGCAACCACATCATTAATCTGTTCAACGTCATTAACTTGGTAGGCAGCATCTTCCACTAGATCTCCAGTTTCAATATGACCTAGCGGTTTTGTTTTTATTACAATACACCATCCTCTTTTACGTATTACAAATGAAGGATAAGGAACATAATAAACTTGCCTAACAATATGTGACATTATGAAAGGGTCATATTCTTTGTATCTCCGGTTCATTTGAATCTCGACAGAACCATATGACTTGTCTATCTTTGTGCCTCTAGTTGGATCATACCATTCACAATAAAACAAGACAACTTTATTTTCCGTGTCCAAGTAATTGTATACCAACTCGTAGATATGTTTAACAAATCCATAGAAGTCGTCTTCACCGCCATCTATAACTCCTTTTACAAAAACACCACTATTTATGGTTTTTTTCCCTTCGGTCCATGCCTCAGTGTGAAATTTATATCCGTTCACGAAGTATGTGTGCCAATCATTTGCGCTTTGGATAGGGCCTTCTGCCAAGTTTCTCAAATGGAGTATTTCTGGAGTTAGTGCAAGAACGCTAGACAATGTTTGCTTGAACCATGAGGGAAATTGAGCATGAATGACACCTGATGTTGACTGTACCCCGGTACTATGAAAATAGGCATTGTTAAATTCCCTACAAAACACACACCATAAGTTTAATAAGTTTGGTATACACACACCATAAGTTTAAAAAGTTTTGGTAAACTTACTCAAGATATGGTTTAACTTCAACGCAGTTGATCAAGACATGGACATGTGCAGATTGCATTTCTTTTTGGGTCAACCAATGCACACCCTTCTTTCCAGAAGGTCGACCTGGAAGCGCAAAGACTGATAAGGTGAATTGACTCCTCTGATTGACATTTACAGGATTCCGTATGATTCTAGAAGTTAACATCAAGTGATTGAAATAGTGACTGCAAAAATGTGATATTTCCCGATGCAAGTAATGTGCACATATAGATCCTTCTACTCTAGCTTTATTTTTCACCGATCTCTTTGAATCACCCATGAACCTTTCAAACGGATACATCCACCTATATTGAACAGGTCCACCAAGATAAGCTTCATATGCAAGATGCACAGGTAAATGTTCCATGGAGTCAAAGAAACCAGGCGGAAATACTTGTTCCAACTTACAAAGAATGAGTGCAATGTTTTGGTCCAACTTAATGATGTCTTCCACTTTTAAAGCTGACGCACAAATATCTCTAAAAAATTGACTAATTTCAGTTAGTGGGTCAAGAACATGTTTGGGTAGCAATCCAAATGCAATTGGTAGCAACTGTTCCATAAAAATGTGACAATCATGACTTTTCATACCATGTAATTTTCCAGTGTTAGGGTCAGCACACCTTGCTAAATTTGATGAATACCCATCGGGCATTCTCAATTCTTTTAACCATCGACAAACCGCTTTAGCTTCTTGGGAAGTCAGACTGAAACAAGCCTTGGGTTTTAATAATTTTCCATTCAGTTGAGGCTTCAACTCCAACTCTCTTCGATTACACCAAATTCCCATGTCTTGTCTGGCCTTCTCATTATCTTTTGTTTTTCCTGTCACATCCATCACTGTGTTAAATACATTATCAAAAAAATTCTTCTCAATATGCATAACATCAAGATTATGGCGCAACAAATTATCTTTCCAATACGGAAGATCCCAAAATATACTTCTTTTTGTCCAATTGTGGGTGACGCCGTAACCTTCAATTCGGCATGCTTTGCCAGTATCTGTAAATTTTGGTAGTTCACATACTTGGTTCCATATAACCCCTGGTGGCAATCGAGGCGGAGGAAAATCTTTCTCTCGTACATCTTTTTTAAAATTTGTCTTGTTTCTTCTATATGGATGATTTGCTGGTAGGAATCTGCGGTGACAGTCAAACCATGAGCTTTTCCCACCTTTATCCAACGTAAATGCTTTGGTGTATCCCATGCAATGCGAACAACCCATTTTTCCATGCGTACCCCAACCAGACAACATGCCATATGCTGGAAAGTCATTAACGGTCCACATCAAGGCAGCTCGTCTAACGATCCATCTTGAGTACCAAACTCATTGTCATAAAACAACATGCAACCGTTAATGCAACAGTCAATCTTTCTTACTTTTAAACCCAACTTCGACACCCACTTCTTTGCATCATAATAACTTGTAGGCAAGTTGTCTTTCGTAGCGGTGGAGTTCAACATCATTTTTGCAAAATGTTCCAGACATTGATCAGAAACATTCCGATTTGACTTGGCGGCCAATAATCTCACACACATTGATAGCTTTGAGTCTGACGACCCCTCAAACAACGGCGTATTCATGTCGTTCAATAATTGATAAAATCTTTGCGCTTCCTCATTCGGCAACTCTTCCCCGTCAAAATCTCCAGGTTCATCATATGTCACGTTCACACCAAAAGCATCCTCAACCATGTCACCGATCAAATTAAAGTTCTCCTCATACTCCATAACCGGTCGACTACTTGAAACATGCGTGTTGCTAGTCTCTGGTACATTAACCGGTAGTTCTTCACCATTATACGTCCAAACCCAATAATTTTCAATGAATCCCCTTCTATGTAGATGACGTGTTACTTCCTCTGGGTCACTAATTATTGGTCTACATTCACATTTAAGACAGGGACACCTAACCCCTCCTTCGCTTCGACAATAATCCTGAGCAAACGCCCACTTAATAAACCCATCAACTCCTACTATAAAATTGGGTTTAAGTCCACTTCTTCTTGGATATGTTCTATCGTACATCCAACTACGATAATACCGATAATATTCCATACTGCACATTTATACAATCATTGTCTTTTTCATTAGAAATATTAATCAACTTAATAATATTATTCTTAAACTATTTAATACTATTCTTAAAAATATAAATTTTACTTTTTTATATATATACTAACATATAAATAAATATTCAAATGTAAAATATATAATTTTTTATTATATAACAATAATATCAAAAAACAATAATATAACATATTTACTTTTTATTATATATACAACAATAATATTAGAAAACAAATAATGTAACATATATACTTTTTATTATATATATAACAATAATATTAAAATAATAATATAATATATATACTCTTTTTTTAATTATGTTTTTTATAAATTATTATTTTAATATATAATTTTTTTTTCATATCTTTAACATATAAATAAAAAAATAAAACTATTATAATAAATATAGTATATATTTTTGTTTTTAAATATGTTATTAAATTTATGTGTTAACATATATATATATATACATCTATAAAAAATAAGACTTTTAATTTTATATTTTCTAAAAATTTTTATTTTAATATATATTCAAATTTTTTTAATTTTATACGTATATACTAACAAATTTTTTTTATATGTCTATATAACATGCAATAATATTAATAAATATTAACCTATATATATTAACAATAATATTTCTGTTTAATAATATATTAATATATAAAACATTCTAATTTTCATTTTATTTTAAACATTAACCTATAATACTAATTAACCTAAAACTAAAATTAAGTAAAATATTTATTTAATTCACATAAACAAAATACATATACTACTAATCTATATAATACATATAAAATATAAAAAAATGCATAAATACCTCTATATAATTTCTTCACTTAATTTGCTTCTTCTTGTGTAGCTCTTGGTGTTCTTCTTCAAATTTCTCTACAGGTTAAACAAAATACCCTTTTTAATATTTATTACCAGTATAATAAATAATGAACAAATGAAATAAAAATTTATCAAAATATGAATACCTTATTCTTCTTCAACAATTTGGGATGGAGGAAATTTGATTTGGGAATTTGGGTTTGAGAGGAAGAAGAAAGGAAGAAGAAAGGAAGAGAAAGGAAGAAGAAAGGAAGAGGAAACAAACCACACCAGATGCTGTAACGAATGGGAATTTTGTGGAGATGTAAACATCAAGTAGCGACGTGATTGTCACGTCGCAACATTGCCACGTGATACCCACGTCGCTACACACTCAACAGAAATATAATTCACTTTCCCACTCTGCCACCCTGTCATCAATCAACTTTAATTTCCCCCCTTTAATGTAGCGACGTGGCTATCACGTCACTACCAAATTTCAAATTTCCCCCTTCTGTAGTGACGTGTAAGACACGTCGCTGATTCTTTTTCCAAACAACCACCTCTGACTTGCGTTATGTATCATTAAAATATGTTTGTGACGTGGTTATCACGTCGCAACTGCATTTATTACTCACGTGATAACCACGTCGCTAATATATGTCGCTGGGGACCATCTTTCTTGTAGTGGTGAACCAAATCATTGGAGTTAGCTACTACAATTTCTCATTCATCTACTTTAATTATTTTCGTTTTCTTTTCTACTTCAAATCTTTACTAAACTTTCTTGAACATTTTGAGACCTTTTCTATATGGTCAATCCATGTCTGAAATTATAAGGATTCATTTTATATCATGATTATTTTATAAAAATAATCGCGCGCGGTGTCTTGTCACACAGCCTACCTCGTCTAATTATCATCTCCATATATTATCATCTCCTGAAATCACCACCCGAACCTGGACCCAAACCTAAAGGCTATTCAGGTAGAAAAATAACACCCACGTCCACACCCGTTGAGTTCAGGTTTCTCCACCCAAACCTGAACCTGCAGCAAATCACATAAAATAGAACAATAACATTAAAATTTTCCATCAATTTTCCTACAATTTTCCAACAGAAACATTGAAATTTTCCATCAATTTTCCTAAACTTTCCAACATCAACATTACAATTTTCCATCAATTTTCCTACAACTTTCCAACAACAACTATGATTTTTTCATAACATCACAAAGCTGAAGTTACAAGAGTTTTTCATATGAACATAGTAAACAAAAATTCAGAAATATGTATATCACAAACAAACATCACAACAAAATTTTCATGTCCCATACATGAAAGCATGTTCAAATTTACAATATTGCAAACAACATTTGACCTTTTGACATCAAGTAGTATTACATGTAATGTTGAGAAAATTTAATAATTTGCACGTTTGAGTTGTCCTAGTTTTTAGGAGTGTCAGTAAGTTTGTTTCAGTATACCTAGTAAATTTGTTTCAGTTTACCTAGTCAATATGAGTTTATTTTGAACGTGTTAGATAGTGCCTATTTTCATGATACCTTCACTTATGTATTTGCCTATTTATAGGTTGTTAGTTTATCAATGAATGTATCCACAAAAATCATATTCTGTGTACTTTTATTAACAGTGGTATCAGAGCCTGGTTTTACGTGAGAGGGACTGCAAATTGAGAGGAAAAAAATACGGTGAGGGAGAGAAACAGGAAAAACTGTAGTTTTTTTCCTGCACACATGGCTTCTGAAAATAGCTTTGTGCAAGCATCTATTCCACGCTTTGATGGTCACTATGACCATTGGAGCATGCTCATGGAGAACTTCTTGAGATCCAAAGAATATTGGACGGTTGTTGTTTCTGGAGTAGCAGAAACCGCAACAGGTGTTACGCTGACAGATGCGCAAAAGACAGAGCTTGAAGGGCTGGAGTTAAAGGACCTTAAAGCAAAAAATTATCTCTTCCAAGCTATCGATCGCTCAATTTTGGAAACCATTCTTTGCAAAGACTCAGCCAAGCATATTTGGGATTCCATGAAGAAGAAGTACCAAGGTACGACAAGGGCTAATAGGCAGCAACTTCAAGCACTTCGTTCGGAGTTCGAAATACTTCAAATGAAGTCAGGAGAATCAGTAACAGACTATTTTTCAAGAACAATGACAATCGTTAACAAGATGCGGATCCATGGCGACAAGACAGAGGATGTTCTCATTGTTGAGAAGATTCTTTGATCCTTGACACCAAAATTTAATTTTGTTGTCTGTTCGATAGAAGAAGCCAATGATGTTGATGAACTTTCAATTGATGAATTGCAAAGTTCCTTGTTGGTTCATGAACAAAAAATTTAACCAACAGGAGAAAGAAGAACAAGCATTGAAGGCCGTATCCGAAAATCACTTCATACCGAGTAGAGCCGATAGAGGACGAGGAAGAGGTAGAGGTCGAAATAGAGGATTCAGAAACAACAATGATCATGGGAACCAACAGCAAAATCATCATCAAGAGAGTCAATTTCAAGGAAGAGGCCGAGGACGCGGAGGATACCACTCAATAACTTATCGATCAAAGTCAGCAGACAAGTCCAATGTTGAATGTTTCAGATGTCATAGGTATGGCCATTATAAATCAGAATGTCAAACTGATTTGAATAAAAGAAGTGGAGATCAAACTAACTTTGCAGAGAAGGAAGAAGAGGTGTCTCTGTTGATGGTGTGTCACGTGAAGGAAGAAACTCAATAAAACATGTGGTATTTAGACACTGGCTGCAGCAACCACATGTGTGGAGAGAAGGAGGCATTTTCTGACTTAGATGAATCCTTTCGCAGCTCTGTTAAGTTTGGTGACAACTCCAAAATTTATGTTATGGGAAAAGGAAAGGTAACAATCCAAACCAAAGGAAATTCCACCCACACTATAGCTAATGTTCTTTTTGTGCCTGATTTAAAAACCAACTTGCTTAGTGTGGGTCAGTTACAAGAAAAGGGTTACGAGATTTTTATCAAAGATGGAGTATGTCAGATTCAAGATGCAAAGTTGGGCTTAATTGCTCAAGTTAACATGACGACGAATCGTATGTTCCCACTTTATCTCCACAACACAGCTCATTCGTGCTTCTCGACAAAATTAGAAGATAAGGCATGGCTATGGCACTTTCGCTATGGGCATCTGAATTTTGGAGGATTGAAAACACAACATCAAAAAGGCATGGTGACGACGCTTCCTCAAATTACAGCTTCTTCTCAAGTTTGTGAAGAATGTGTTGTTAGCAAACAACACCGTACTCAATTCCCACAAGGAAAATCTTGGAGAGCGAAGAAAACATTGGAGCTTGTTCATTCCGACATTTGTGGGCCAATAACACCACATTCTAATGGAGGTAAAAGATATATAATTACTTTCATTGATGATTATAGTCGTAGGATTTGGTTTTATTTTTTGCAAGAAAAATCTGAAGCCTTTGTAGCTTTTAAAAGCTATAAAACGCTTGTCGAGAAAGAAGTTGGTAACCCAATAAAAGTTCTTCGCACGGATCGTGGTGGGAAATATAACTCACGTGAATTTGCAAATTTTTGTGAGAACCATGGAATCAAGAGACAACTTACAGCAGCTTATACACCCCAACAAAATGGTGTATGCGAGAGGAAGAACTGCACTATTATGAATATGGTGCGTAGCCTTTTGACAACAAGTGGCATTCCAAAAAGTTTCTGGCCGGAAGCAGTTAATTGGAGCACTCATTTATTGAACAGAAGTCCTACACTTGCTGTTAAAAATTTGACACCAGAGGAAGCATGGAGCGGAAGGAAACTTACCGTAGATCATTTCCGAATTTTTGGGTGTATTGCCTATGCCCATATTCCAGATGCGAAGAGGAGAAAGCTAGACAACAAGGGAGAAAAATGTATTTTTCTTGGTGTTAGTGATGAGTCAAAAGCTTATAAATTGTACAATCCTAGCACCAAGAAAATTGTCATCAGCCGTGATGTGGTATTTGATGAAAAAAGCACCTGGTCATGGAATCAAAATGGTGTTAAAGAAAGTATTCCTGCTGATTTTGATGATGGGGAGAATGGGCAGCAACCTATGGATAGAAAGCAAGAAGATGAAGTCACTCAAATCGTCCCAACTGATCAAAGCCCACATACAGCTGAATCACAAAGGCCTCAACGTGTTCGAAGGAAACCAGCATGGATGACTGATTATAAGGTAACTGGAGTTGACCAAGGTGATGACCCACTTATACACTTTGCTCTATTTTCAGATTGTGATCCTACCATCTTTGAAGTGGTTGTCAAAGAATCAAAATGGAGAATGGCTATGGATGCTGAAATTACAGCAATCGAAAGAAATGACACGTGGGAGCTATGTGATCTTCCAAAAGGGCAGAAGACAATTGGTGTAAAGTGGGTTTACAAAACAAAGCTGAAAGAGAATGGTGAGGTTGACAAATACAAGGCACGCTTGGTAGCTAAGGGCTACAAGCAGGAGTTTGGTGTTGATTATAAAGAAGTCTTTGCTCCTGTTGCAAGGCACGATACAATTAGATTGGTGATTGCTATGGCAGCTCAAAACTCATGGCCTATCCTCCAGTTGGACGTGAAATCAACATTCCTCCATGGAGATTTGCGATAAGAGGTATTTATCGATCAACCTCCTGGTTATGTAAAGCTTGGCAATGAGCACAAAGTGTATAAGTTAAAGAAAGCTCTATATGGGTTAAAACAAGCTCCACGGGCTTGGTATAATCGTATATAAACTTATTTTTTAAAGGAAGGATTTCAAAAATTTCCTTATGAACATACACTTTTTACAAAGACTGAAGATGGAGGAAAAATGCTCATTATTTGCTTGTATGTAGATGATTTGATCTACACTGGAAATAATACAGCTATGTTTGGAAGTTTTAAGAAATCCATGATGGCTGAATTTGAGATGTCTGATCTTGGCATGATGCATTACTTTCTTGGCATTGAAGTGGTCAATCTTCTACTGGAATTTTTATTTCTCAAAAGAAGTATGTGCGAGAAATCTTGAACAAGTTTCAAATGAAGGATTACAATCCTGTAAATACTCCATCTGAGTTTGGTATGAAGTTAAACAAAGATGATGGCGGAAAGAAGGTTGATGACACTATTTACAAACAAATAGTGGGGAGTTTAATGTATTTGACAGCAACAAGACCTGATATAATGTATGCTGTAAGTTTGATTAGCAGGTACATGGAATGTCCCACAGAGATTCATCTCTTGGCTGCAAAAAGAATTTTTCGGTACTTGCAAGGTACTAAGGATAATGGGTTGTTCTACAAGAGTGGAGAAAAGTCAGATTTGTTTGGGTTTACAGATAGTGATTATGTAGGAGATTCGGACGATCGAAAAAGCACATCTGAGTATGTTTTTAAGATGGGGACAGGAGTTGTTTCATGGTCATCAAAGAAGCAACCTATTGTCACATTGTCATCCACTTAAGCTGAATTTGTTGCTGCAACAGCTTGTGCTTGTCAAGCTATATGGCTAAAGAGAATTCTTAAAGAGCTGCATTTTAAGGAGGATGGACCTACTCAGATTTACTGTGACAATAGTTCAGCAATAAAGCTTTCAAAAAATCCAGTTTTACATGGTCGAAGCAAACATATAGATGTGAAGTATCATTTTTTGAGGGATCTCACAAATGATGGAGTTATTAATCTTACTTACTGCAGAAGTGAAGACCAGATAGCTGATATTCTAACCAAGTCTCTCAAGTTCCCTGCATTTCAGAAGCTCAGGAGGCTACTTGGTGTTTGTACTTCACAGTTTTCAATTTGAGGAGTGGGGTTTCAAAGCTTAACTCTTACTAAACTGAATGTGTGTCTGGAGCATCAGTTTAAGGGAGGGATTGTTGAGAAAATTTAATAATTTGCACGTTTGAGTTGTCCTAGTTTTTAGGAGTGTCAGTAAGTTTGTTTCAGTATACCTAGTAAATTTGTTTCAGTTTACCTAGTCAATAGGAGTTTATTTTGAACTTATTAGATAGTGCCTATTTTCATGATACCTTCACTTATGTATTTGTCTATTTATAGGTTGTTAGTTTATCAATGAATGTATCCACAAAAATCATATTCTGTGTACTTTTATTAACATGTAAAACATCCACTATGCTAAATTTCTAAGCAAACCTTCAACAAGAAATGTAACATAGTTGCCAATAGTTTTTGGCAGTGGCATGGCATATTGTCAGATCTTGCAACGAGATCATCTTCTTGAACTTCACCTTCAACAAAAAAAGTTTAAGATCCATGTTAAACTTTAAGTTCCTCTACCAAATACTAACATACATATATAGAAACGAAAGCTTGTATTGCAAGCTATAAAAAGATTGTTCATAATATTGTTTCCAAAGTATTATCTAAATGGAAATAGAAAACCAAATACAATAAACCAAAGATAGTTTTTGGTTTCAAAGAAGCCTTGGGTGCAAGTCAGTTCAGTTCTAAAATATTATAATATCAAAGAATCAAACATTGATTAAAACCTGTAAGAATCTGAGATAATTCTTGAGGTCTAACCTTCAATATTAACAGCCTGCTTTGCTTGAGCATCCGCTAAACTGTTTTCGATCATTAAATATTAAAAAAGAAACATATAAGTTAAGCTTGAGTTGTAATCTAAAATCAAAGAGACGAAAAGTTAGAGCTTCTATTCAAGACGAAATTAGTAAATAAATACCCTAGGAATTTGTTGGATGTGGAATGAGTGAAACCTATACTTAAGAAGATTGTTCCAAAGATGGCTCAATCTTACCATTAGCGATAGAATCAAATGTACGTTCCAACGATTAACAAACAAATTGTAATTGAAATCAAATATATCTTTATATCCCAATTATTACAGTTTATTAACCCTCTAAAATGGTTACATCTATGGTGCATATGAGTCAAAATGATGAGAGTACATTTTGGATATAGTAGAGACCAGATGGACTACCATTGGGAAGCAATGCTAACCTAACAGGATGCACAGCGCCTTCTTTTGCAGTGTAGAAACCTGTATTCGCAGTCATATCTGTCTTCACATAACCAGGACAAACACAATTGATGCAGAAATTCGGATATTTTTTCGCAATAATTCTTGTATAAGCATTCATTGAAACTTTAGCAACAGTATAGGCAGCCAAATACCTAGGCCAACCATTTCTTTCTAAAGACCCTTGTTCAAAATCCTTGAGAAATTCCTTTAACACTTCATCTATTCTCTCTTCTGTAAGGTTTTCAACATCACTGAAAACTCCTTTAGCCCATTCATTTGATACACACTGCTTTCACATCAATAATCAATATAAGTAACAATGCTAATTTAAATAAACATTATATTAATGTAAAAGTTTGCTTACCTCTATCTTGCTCAATGATGATGATACATTGACTACTCTTGGTGAATCTGATAACTGGAGGAGAGGAACAAGATGTTCAAATGTTGTTTTAGCTCCATCATAATTTATTTTCAAACATTCTTTAGTTGACTCATATGTTTGTGTCATTGAACTTCTCAATTCATCATCAGATAGTGCCTGCTGCAAAGTAAGAACAAGTCAATATTCAAAATCATTATACAAGTTCAGATATTGATATATATATATATATATACACACTAACCCCGTTTGTAATGATTGCTGAACTGAATAAATTACTATCTTTAATTTCAATTCCACCAACCCCAGCATTATTAACCTACAAAAACAATAGTCTCTACTCATGAAATAGTAAGATCTAGAAATTAAACATTTTTATAAGGAGAAAACATTAATTTAAGGTTACCAGAATATCAAGTTTGCCAAACTGTGATTTGACAAAATCTGCAAGAGTAGCTACACTTGAAGCATCAGCCACATCTAGTTGATGAAAAACAACAGAATGAGATAAACCAGAAGCTTCAAGTGTTTCCAATGCTTGAAGACCTCTTTTCTCATCTCTTGCTGTAAGCACTACTTTGATTCCAGCTTCAGCTAACTGCCTCACTATCTCAAACCCAATTCCTTTGTTTGAGCCTGTCACCACTGCATATCTGAGGAAGAAACACCTACGAGATTCAAAAACATGTTTGGATAAATGTGAAACAAAGTTTGATACTACATACCTTTCTGTTGGTTCTCCCATCTTTGGTTGGAACTTACCAAAAACAAGAGAAAGAGATATGTTATTCTATTGGAATTGTTCAACATATTTTGAAGTGGAGCTCATTTTTTTGGTGCTATCTCCATAGTTTTGTTTTATTGTAAGTGTTGATTGAAAACTAGTGGTCATTTTTCTTTGCTTCACATATAGGTCGGTTGCGAAATGGATGATAGATCAAACACATCAAAAACTAATGTTTGAGACAAATACAGTGACTATCAAAATTAAATTGTCTTAAACAATTACTACTATAATCTAACAATTTCCGCAAATAAAACCACAAATCCACAATAGTAAAAACAATATATATAAAAAAAAATACATGAATTGTTTATTCAATTTGAACAATGAGAGAAAATAGCTCTTTTGTCAAGTAGAGATTATAAATTACTTATAAGAAAATAAGTAAAAATATAAGATCATAGTTTCTCGATGACGCTATCTAAATTGCATTTTCAAATGATTTTAGTCCCTAAAAGAAAATGCTAAGATACCTTACAACATTGTTAATCATGATTATACGATGACCCACACCCGTCCCGTTAACATTCAAAGATAGGGTTACTTATCAAATCAATGGTAAGATAACAATGTCAAAGGAAAAGGAAATGAACATGAAAGACTTTTGAGTAGGTAGAATGCTCCTAATTACTCGCTCAATTTCAAACAAAACATCTGAAGATGTGAAAAACACAAGAAGGGGGGTTGAATTGAAAACTTGAAATCAAAAGCGCAATGACACAGTATTTTTATCCTGGTTCGTTTGATCTCAAACTACTCCAGTCCACCCGTCAAGGTGATTTCGCCTCTCTCCAACGAGGTCTTAATTCACTAATCACAAAAGGATTACAATCACTACTTTAACAACTGTTAAAGTCTTCTTGAGTACAACCACAATCCGGTTAATCTCAAGGAATACTGTTTCAAAACAATTATACAAGAATGTGTGTTGTTGTTTTTCGTTACAAAAACTGTTATCACAACTGTGATAATTTACACAAAAATAGCTTGAAAGATGATGAATATTGCTTGCAGCTTTTTGAATATGCGTGAGTGGTATTGGCAAATCGTCAACGATTTTGAACACTGACTTTGTTTATATAGGCCATGGATTTATGTTGATCATCAAGCGTGTTTAATGATGTTAACTCACTTTCCATTTGGAGAAGATCCTGTCTGAAAGAAGCCGTTGGAATTGATGCTGTCTTGAATGATCAGTAACACTCAGAATCTTACATCCTTTCCTACTGCTGACGCTTCAAAATAGATGACTTGGATTAACATGTTCTTGTTCAGAATCAGAGTTTACTTTGCTTAAGCGCAGGTTCTGGTCATCAATCTTCAGCGCATGTTCTGATTGCTTCAGCGTGTAGCTCTTATGGCTTATCTTCTGATGTTGCTTTGGTCAGAACTTCTGCATACAAATTAACATAATTTTTAAGGTGCATATTTGTTCTTTGTATTTGTTATCATCAAAACTCTAACTAAGGGTTGTAGAATCAAACTATGTTCTAACAATCTCCCCCTTTTTGATGATGACAAAAACTAGATTTTTCAATTAAAAATAAAGAACAAAAGGTTTAAGAGAAACTCCCCATGAGTTGATTACTTCCCTTAAGTTCTTTCTCATCAGAGTTTTAGCTGCATCTCCTATCAGAAGTTGTACCTGTTCAAACTTTTCAGAAGGTAGAGGTTAAGTAATACAGAATGTTTGAGACTTTTATCTCGGTAAACCATTATTGAAAATATCTTACTTTCTCCCCCTTTTTGTCAGTTATCAAAAAGGCAATATAATCATAACCAAAAGAGATGAATTATATTAAAAACACGATGCAATGACAAGTTCCAGAACAAAAGAGGTAAAAATTAAACGTTACAAATAAACATATTTAAAAAGAAATCTAAGAAGGAGGGGGAAGACGTGTGAACAACGCTTCCAACAAGCTTTTAATCCGAGTATTAGACTCTTCTTGCTTGCCCAATATGCCTCTGATTTCCTTTATAGTGTCTTCCTGTTTACCCAGAATACTTTTAATCTCTTTTTTCGTGACCTCCTGCTTATCCAACCTTGCATGGATTAGAGCATTTTCTTTCTTCAACTCTTCTAGAGTTTGCATAACTAAGGAAGATGCTGGAGTTTCTTCAGGAGTTGGACGTTGCTCAGAGCATTCTGCAGCTTGTTCAGAGTGAACCATTTCTTCTGATGCAATCATGTCTTCTGGAGCAGCAGTCAGGGAGAGACTTTCTGATTCTGGTTTAGCTTCATCTGAAGGATGATGCTCTTTCCAGGGAGCATTATCCAGCGAGAGGATGTCTTTCTTGAACAGTTGGCTCAGAGCTTGGTCTTAAAAAGCCTTCAGCTTATCACTAAAGTTCTGCTGAACCTGTTCATAACTCTGTTCCTTCAGCTTCAACATTTCAGAACTTAGCCAGTTTCTGAATCTTGTCCACATATAATCAGAAGCAGCAGGATTAGTCATCTCTTGACTAGCATACTTCAAAGAATTTATCCATTCCTGCATTCTTGTTTCAAAAATCAACAAATTTGTACCAACATCTGATGTGGTTTTAGTTGGTTTGGGTTTGGGAATGGTAGTTTTGAGAGATGTGGAGGTTAGTCTTTCCAGCAAGATTGGATCAATGACAAGTCTTAAGTTGTCAGCTGAACGACTAGTAGGTGAAGGAGCTGGAGAGTCGGGTATGATGATTGGTCTAGTGAGGGTGTTTGGAGGTGTGGATTCCAGAGATGAAGGGATTTCTAGAATATCGTGAATCGTGAGAGGCATACGAACTGCAAGAGGTTCTGTGATTCCAGGTATTGAAATTGTATCAGAATCTGAAGGAGATTCTTCATATTGGTTTGTTGTAGCATGTTAGGGGTTCTAGTTCATGGATATCAGAAGATTGATCTTCACAAAGTTGAGTTTCTGGTTGTGGTGAATTGGAGTTCAGATCTTCTGGTTGTGGTATTTCTGGTTGAGGAATTTCTTGTTGAGGTGATTGTGGTTGTGAAATTTCTTGTTGTGGAATTTTTGTTTGTGAAGAGTGTGGTTGCGGAATTTCTGGTGTGGTATCAGAGTTTGTATTTTCTGGGAGTTGAGAATTTGGATTTTGTGGTAAGGGAGAGGAAAAGTCTTGGTCAAATAAATCAATATCAGACAGAACTTCGACAAGTTCTGGTTCGTCATGTTCAGGATTTGGATTTTGAGAAAGGGAGTGAGTTTCATTCAGACCTAGAGTTTCTGATGGATCAAACCCTATGTCAAAGTCTTCAAATGTTTGGGGAGTTGGATTTTCTGGTTGAGAAGGCATGGCTTCAGATGTTGATACATTTATTGATTCTATAACAGAAACGAAAGAGGGATTACCTTTCTTTTTGGCAGCTTTTGGCTCTGAGATGGTCCTTCTCCTGCTGCTTTCCTCTTCTTGGTCTTCTTTAAAGCAACTTCTGGAGCAGCCTTGTGCAAGTCCTGGATGTTGACTTCTGGTGCAGTACCATCTTCCTTGCACGCGCCCAGATATCTGACTATTATTTCTGGTTTGGAGTCAATCTCAGAGAATAGAGGAAAATCATCCAGAGGTATCCTTCTTGAAGTGATGGTTGCATGAGAAGTAACGGTTGGTTCCTTCTTGATATTCTCAATGATTTTCATCTTCTTCAGATTTTTAGCGTTCAGGGGATTCCCAACGGTTGCTTCCAATGTGTTGATTTCCTGAGCTTCCGTCAAATGCTCTATCAGCCTATTCTCTGTTAGAATATCTGATATGAGCCTGCCTAAGGGAATCCAATCCCTCTTGGTCCTTTCGTCTTCTCTTGTTTCCTTCACACTAGTTCTAAGATGATTAAACAACAAGTGCGGAAGATTTACCTTTGTCCTCTTAGCAATGAAGTAGATCAGAAATTGTTGATCAATGTTGATATAATCAGGAGAGCTTGTTGGCTTCCTGTGGTTGATACACCCCATAATGATTCTGGCCCAAATTTAATGGTGATCCTTCAAATCTCTGATTTTACTGGAGGGTAGTCCATGAGTAAAAATTTCTCTTGCAATAGAGCTTACGTCAGAGCATCTCTCAGCCATGTCAATGCATCTGACACCTCCACCATTGTATCCAAGAAGCTTTGCAATTAGGTCTTCTGTAATAACAATTTTCTTCCCCATGACATAAGAAGTAACCTGATGATTTAAAGAAGAAGCATGTATCCAGAATTCTTTTACAAGAATGGGAAAGGTTGGACCCAATAGACGGTCAAAGTACCCGTTCCATCCTTGAGCAGTAACGTCTTCATACAGATTGAAGCCATTTTCTTGCAAGCTTTCAAAATCAATAATCAATTCTGAGAGAACTTCCAGATTATCAATAGGAGTGAGGAGCGTTCTGTAGGGTTCTTCATACTGTTCCATTGAAGCAGATTCATGAGCACTGACATTTTTGACACTTGAAGAAGCCATTGTTCACACGAGATTTTGAGGAAGATGAAAGGGGTTTTCGAAAACAAGAACTTGAAACGATAGGAAATATTGATGAGAGTAAAAAGAAGTGAATGTAAAAAGTAAAATTTGAGTTTAAATAGGTTTCTTTGAAAACGTAAACAATAAGAAAAAGAAATAATTAGCCATGATTATAAGCATTAATGACACCTGAAATTAGGGGATTTAGAAAGATACTTGAATGGTTATCCTTGACAAGTGTCTCAATGCACCCAATCAGCGTCTTTGACCTTTCAGAAAATTGAACGCGTGTTCAGCCTCAAAAAGTGGTTGATGAATGGATGACAACTGTTTGATTATGTGAACTGCACGCTTCTATCCTTGAAATGAAACTTTCAGATCTTCATGGATAGATTCTGGGCATAGTGTTGTACCCCAAAATTTTCCTTCTCATTTCTTCAACATTTTCTCATCCCAAGACCCTTGGAGCTCAAGATCAAGTTAGGGTTTGCTCTGCTCGAGACTCCTCCTTGCACTGTTGACCCAAAT